CCAACTCCACATGGAGATGATAATAGGATTTTTTAAAAAAATCTAAAACATAGTTTACAAAGTTAGCTCCCTCCTCAACAGCAAAAATGAATTCACTCATTTAATCACACACTATAGATTCATCTTACACTTGAGTGAACCAACATGAACAAATCCCATGTTAACTAAGTTTTCAGCCACAGCCATATACTATCTATCATTCACAAAAATCATCATTACCACCATGCTCTCAAGGAAGCTTCTTTTCAGATTTATTCCTGAATAATAAAGTAATTGGATTACATAAGAGGCTCACCTTCCCAGACTTTAATTTAAAGCCATTTTAGAAACCACAGCAAGAACCTCGACTTGAAAGAATCTGTATAATTCAAACAGGCAAAGCCAATTGTTTGAAATTTAATAAAGCGTGTTCCTCTCGGGGGTGGGGGGGGGCGCTCAAACTAGAAGCAGCACTGAACAGAACTCAATGTGTGAACAATAAAGTTATGAAAACAGAGACTGGTAATCAAGATGGCAGGTTCCGCTGTACAGTGAGTCTTCTGATGCTTTCTCCAATATACCTCTAAACGTCCCAAGAGACTACGCTCTGAAAGCCTGCTCTTCACTGCCCAGTAACTCAAAGCAGATGTCTCCTTTTTCTCCAACCTCAGCCCAAATCTTTCCCTGAAAATTTCACTCAGTATGGCCTCCTTCATATCAAGCAGAGTTTCATCCTAATCCTGCTGGTCTGGATTCTTGAAATACCATAGCCCATTTAAAAATTTTTAGCTTGAAAATTTCTTCCTGCTTGCAGGGTCTCTGAGGGCCCCTACCTTCTCCTTCACCCTGGTGCACCTGCCCCACCCAGGAGCTCTAGCACAACAGAGAAGAAAGTGATAGCTCACAGTCTCAGCACTCTCTGGCCAGACACGATGATGACGGTGGCCATTTGGGTTCTTCTTTAGAGCGGAGCTCAGCCCAGCAGCATGAGCTTTGGGCAAATGCCCCAATGCTGTCGAGACATTTCACTTCTCTGAGGCTCAGTCTGCACACTGTTAAAACAGGGTAATAGCACTTCCTAGGCTTATGGCTGAAGTGTACTCAAATAACCTATGCAAAGCAAAGGGCAGGGTGTGGCACATAATGCCTGCAAATCAGTTGCTGTTATGATTCCTTGGATTGATACCTTCTCCTGGAGCTGTAGGGAAAATCGATTTTAAGTACACCAGAACATTAAATTATTGATCTTAAGAATCCAGCATCAGAAGTCAACTTGGAGTAGATTCGGTCCCTATTTTTCCTTTATAGCCCTGGAAACTGAACTCTGGTACAGGGAGACTTCCTCCAGAATAAGTCACCGCAAGGCCACTGATGGCCAGCTTTCCTGATCACTTTGTTCTTCAGGAAAGCCCATCACAAAATGGTAAGCTCAGTCTTCAGACTCTTCCATCTCTCTAGGGCCAAATTGTACCTTGAATTTGGAATTTTTTCCTAAAGAGGAACACTGGGAACAGCAGGAGGCAGGACAGGCTTAGGACAGGCTTAGAACAGTTGTGTAGAGATAGTATGTTTGAGAATGGGGGGCAAGCCTCAGGTGTCATTTCCTATCACATAGCCACTCCCCTGCCCCCATCCCTGCACACCAGGAAGCACTTGGTTCTGGGGGGTGGTGTGGAATGCACATGGTGACTGACACAGCTGAGATCCAGCTTCCACCAAGTGGCCAGGTAAGAATCACTGGCAGTGCTGGACTAGATCGCCAGTTCCTACAAAGCCTGAGGGCAGCCTAGTCCTTATTTTAATACATTCCAAATGCAGACTGGGTAAGTTCCAGGCATATATTCCACACTGCAGCTGTTCCCTATCCACTCACGGGGGTTCTGGGAATTTCAGATCATTGTAAACTTCAGATTTGATAAGAGACCTAATAAATACAGCCTCCCCCCCACCCCAAATGCTGTAGTCTTGGCACTTAACATGTGATAAATCTCTCAAAAGTGGTACATGGTGGGTTTTCAAAAAAGGAGAAGCTTTATTAAACTGAAGGTATGTTAATTTGCTAACAGTAGCTGGTCATCATCCATAGCCCATTTAGTCCTTGGCACTGACATCAATAATTGGTGCTAAAAACACTGAAAATTTCTGTGTAAATGTGCACCTGTTCTCGCCTGATTCCAAAATTAGTGTCTGATTCCATGCAACTGTTTCTTTCATACTTACATGAGTCTCGTCTTTGGTAAAGCATGAATTTTGAGTTTTAAGGCTTAAAACAATTTTAAAACTTACTATTTAGTGACCACAAAAGGAACTCTGTTTTGCTTAGATACTTGAGCAAGTTGAATTAAACACTAATTGAAGCAATTAAATTTTAAGGTTGTACTCCAGCACACTCCAAAGGAGGGAAAACACAATCAACAGGGAATACCATAATACAGTACACTTAAAGAGAAATCCATGTTTAAAACAAGACATCCTATTATCATGCACGAGATATTTCTATTCAGAGTATCAGAAGCAAGGAGGCAGAAAACCTGCAGATTAATTAAGAATTTCCCAAGGGATAAATGCCTGCAAGTTTCTCTGAGACCTACTTATCTAAGCAGGGGCTGTACTGGTCTGAGTGTGCCAGTGGTTATCAAGAAATGACTGGATACATTCTGCACTAAAGGATGGGGGTTCAGTTAGCATAAAAGCAAGCGATCTGCTCAGAAAGAGAACCATCTCAGAAGAAGAAGGAGGAAGAGGAGGGAGGAAGATGAGGAGAAAGAGGAGGAGGAGAAAGAAGAAGAAAAGGAGGAGGAGCCCTAAAAACAAGGACATGTGTATAAGATATCCCTGCAACTAGTACTGCATCTGATCTGTCCTGATGGCTTGCCTTGACTGCCCTGAGACACTCGAATCCATTCCCTCTTAGTTTTCATGGTCAGAACTAAGCACCGATGACTGTCCCTTTCTGCACAATCTATCATTCACACATTTCCAGATATTAAAGTATCTCAGCCCAGGTCCTCCAGGCATGTGTCTTCATCCTTACCTTTAATTCAAAATTACGTACACCAACCAGCACCCTAAACCATGGAGTTCAGAGCTCTGTCAAGAGAGGACCGGACCCATGTCAAAATTCCCAAGAGGATTTGGCTCAAAACTCAGGAAACATCATCTTCACTGAGCAAAAAGGGATGCAGCATGCTCCAATTTCTATCAACTGTGAGAAGCAGATCGAGAACTTCGGCATGTCTGAGTCTCCGCCCCCACTCCCCTTTGTAAAATTCAGAACCCAGTCATCTATTATTTTTATTTTTTTCTTTTCTTCAGTTACAGTACCCAACTAACACTGCTGACAGTTTTTCTAACACATTCGAACAAAATGGGGGGTGGGGAGGAACTGGTTGTCAGTTCCAGAAAAATAGTGGCGGAAAAAGTGGCTAAATGGCCACACGTTGCTTTTCCTTTAAAAAGAAGAGCTACCCCAAATTTACCACCCCAACATTCGGCTACTGAAATGCTCCCCGAGTCATACGCTGTATTTCAAAATGGTAAGAAAAAAAAAATATTGATCAGAATTTTTGAAAGTCAACTATCAAGTAACTACCAGGAAAAATAAAGGCTGAAAAGCTAACTCCTGTTAGTTTTTTGTTTGTTTGTTTGTTTGTTTTCTTTTTGCGTGCAGAAAGTGCAGTGTTTAAGTCAGCCTAGGAGTCTCCTCATCTAGAAAAAGCAGTCCGCAGGAGAATCATTGTGTGCCTCTATGTACTAGAACGCTCAGTAACTCAAGAGACAATGATTTCCACCAAAGACGACCTATTTCTCATCAAATTTTCAGCAGGACCTCCCGCCGTCCTCCCCCACCCCGAAGTTTACTAAAACCCAGGTACACATGTTAACTCCTCACCCCATAGTTCTTTTGGATTCCAACACTTCTTTGGAAGTTCTGCCCCGAGAAACACTGGGGGAGACGCTGGAAGGCAATCACAAAAGTCTCATTTAAATTCCTGGAAAGCACAGCTTCTCCAAACACACTGTTCAGCTCTCTTTGGAAAGCCTCATTTGCGTCGAACCATGAGTTTAACTTCACTGGTCCCCCAGCACTAGTACCATCAGGTCCAACGGAGATAGATGTCACATTTCATACTAAAAAGAATTCATCACCTAACCACTCTACACGATGGGAAGTGAAACAACCCCAACGCGGAGTTTTCGCCAGCCAAGTGCATAAGAACACGGACTTTGGGGGAGGGCGGCTTCTAAAGAGCCCTTTACACCTAAACATTATAGCCACACAGGGGGGAAAATAAAATCAGGATGCTCTCTATGAGCTGTAAGCGCGCTAATTTGCATGAAGATGGGTCCAGCAATTTGATAAAAAATCTTCACTTCCTTTCACAACTAAATCACATCAAACCAATGCACAGTTTCGGATCCCCAGAGTGAACTGTGTCCACCTGTCCCCAAAGCGCAGCAACCCTTCCCTTCTTTGCTCACCCTCTTCGGAGTGTCCTGCTCTCCCCACACAGCGCTGGCTTCTGGCAGCTGAGCTCATCAAACTCTGAGTAGCTCAGCGCAGCGGCCAAGGCGATTCCAGCAAGACGCGGCGAGTCTCAGATCCCCGCACACCGCGCGCTACTCACTCACCTTGTCCCTACGCCTGTGCTCTGCACCGAAGTCAGACTCGTGCGTGTCACATTTTATTCCCCGGCAGCCACGCGGGCGGGCGCGCGCACCACGCGCTCCCACACTCACACGGACGCCCTGGGAAGCGCGGCCTCGCTGGGGGCTCAGGCGATCCCGTGCTGGCGTGGTCCCCTATCCGGTAGCGCGCGACCGCGTCGCCGGCGGCTGCAGCTCGGCCTCCCAGCCGCTGCGTGGCTGCGCTCAGCCCCGCGCCGCGCACCTCATTGTTCCAGCCCGCGCGGCTGTGGCACGGTTGCTGGTGGCCCCGTGGGCCCGCGATCGGAGGCTGTCCCGCCCTGGAGCCCCATGCACCCCCGCCCTCCCGGTTCCGGTCTTCCGTCCCGGCTCACCTAGCTGCTGGGCGCCGGGAAGTTGCTCGGCCTCCCGCGCGCGCCCTAGCCCGCAGCTTGCCCGGCGGCCGGCGCAGGCGGGGAAGCTCGGGCGACGCAGAGCCTGCCTCTCGCACAGCGATTGCAGACTCTGCTGCGTGGGGCGGCGCGGCTGCCTAAAAAGGCGTGCTAATCCCAGCCACCGCCTCCACCAGGCGAGCGGCTCTGAGGGCTCCCCGCACGGCCTCTGCTCCTCTGAACCTGGCACCCTGGGTTGCAAGAGTCCAGGTGGTGGCCGCAGGAATGCCACCGGCAGCGAGTGGTGGGCAGGGCGGCCTGGGAGGCTGGCCTCAAGGAAGTGAGTCTTTGTGTGCTGGCCTCGAACACACAGCCCTCTGCAGAGCCAAAGACCGGCTACCTGCACGCCAGGCAGCGTCCTGGCCCGCTGGGTGGGGCGTGGGGAGCGCAGCATCCTCTGGGCCGCCGGCTCCCTTTGTTCAGGCTCCGCCGGCTCTAGCCGCCTGCATCCTCACTCTGGCGGCTACAGAGAGGCGCCCTGCTGTGCAGGGACGGACTTAGGAACGGGTCGCTTTCCACTCGGAGCTCCCCACTTGCCCACCAACACAGGTCAATCCAACCCTGGGAGGGGTGGCCAAGTTCTCGCCTCTGAGACGCCCCGGACTGTCCGAGGGGCGCAGGGATGACCTAGAGCCAGGCTGTGGGAGCCGCAGATCGGGTGTGTCCGTCTGCTCACGTGCGGAATGCCCATTTGTCACGGAGGCCCTCCTATTTTTCAAAGGCAGCACAGCTGTCCCGAGTTGCGGGTAAACATGCTTCTGTGAACTTCGCCCCCTTGGATATGGGTGTACCCTATGAGTTCTCTTGCAGAGTTCAGAAAAGAGCAAGGGCAAGGGGTCCTGGTAGAAGAAGACTCAGTTGCTGATTGTACCCGACAGGACTGTGGTCAGGCAGATCAATCCAATCCTCCCAGACTCTGGGTCCTTGCAGGGACGAACATTTTGGAGACAAATTCTTCACTGAATGTATTGTTTTAAAGTTCATCTAGTCGATTTTTTTTTTTCAGTGCTTGCTATGTGTTTGGGACTAGGCACCACGATAGATGAGCAAAACTCAATCCAGAAGTTTACAGACATTTAAAACATTACAGGAATTGAACTCAAACCCGCAGAGTAAAATGCACTGTGTGGGATCAAGTGTAGCTGGGAGATGCTTACTCGGGTTTCCCCAGTTCTATTAACTGTTTCTGACACTTAGAATTTCTAGGAACTGCCCGAAGGGACGCTGTGTCACTCAGATTAATAACTGCGTCTTATACAAATGAAACCCATATTGTCTAACATTCTATGCTCTGCCCCCTTCCTACCAGTGGACACAGTGGACACTTCGGGGCACTGAGGTGATGTAAACTGTGGCTCTAAGTTATGTCTTCCGTGTAATGGGTACATTTGGAAGTACCATCAAGGTATGCTGTATAATGTGCAAAGAGCATCTTCGCTGGTCCTTAAAGTCAACAGCAAATTGAGTAATAATAATAATAATAATAATAATAATAATAATAATAATAATACGATAGTGGCATTATTAAAGTATTTTACTGAAAAATTAAAAAACTTATCACATTCCTTTGAGACTGCAAACATGTTTTATTCCCATCTTGCTGTTTTTACAAGAATGCTGTCAAAGTTGATGGCTCTGTGACTACCTTAAAAAACAAACAAACAAACAAACAACGTAAGTGTGCTTCCCAGCAAAAAAAAAAAAAAAAAACCAAACAAACAAACAAACAAACAAAAAAACTGGCAAGCATGCTTCCCAGCAAACAAGCAACTTTGTGCCTGGAGAAGAATAACCCAGTATGCCAGTTTCTGTTGTCGCAATTTGAGTGGGTTTAGTTTATTATTTATGGCCCTGGTAGAAAATGAAGGGGCACCATACCTGACAACCTGTTGCTTCCCAAGCAAATCATAAAGGCAGTTTGCATGCAGAAGGCTGTATGTCAGTGCTGGCTTCTGTCGGAGTGTAATGGTGAATGACATATTTTCACATGCCTTAGTTGTTCGGCTCAGAGGACCCCTAAACAAAAGTAGACCTGTTTTCTAATTGGTCTGCTGCAGAGCTCTGCTGACTCTGTAGTATTCCTTTCAGTTTCAAATGAAAAATTAAGCAACAATAAAGCCAGGAATCATTTAAAAATCCACTTTCTGTCTATGCTCATACTAACTTGCATTTCTGTTCTCTGTTAAACACAGATCTTCTCTATCATCCTTGTCCTAACCCACCACTTGCCAAGTACTCCTACTAGACTCTTGATGCCCAGTTCAGTGCCAGCTTGGTTTGTACACATTCCATGACTCAGGTAGGTGGTGCCTTGATCGACAGGGTCTTAGCATTAATTTCTGGACTGGAACCAAGAGCATTAGAAAAAAAATCTGTAATATCTATGGGACCACACTGACCAAGAACTCCTAAAGAGGAAACCCATTCTTGACACTGGAGTTTTCACTTATTAGTTGGTCATGTCTAGTAGGGGCATTGTGGCTCCATTATAGGGTAATTCCTTTTAAGATCTTTTTAGATACATGTGTGTTTAAGTGACAGGAAGACTTGGAAGACTTTGCAGTAGTGGTTTTCATGAGGTCCTTAGGGTTAATGATACCTTCCCATATTCCCTCCTCCACAATATCCTCCCATCTCCCACTCCATTTAATCCTTCCTGTCCCTTTACTAGGATTCCCTTTTTATATAATATGTTCTTTTTTCTTTTCCTTAAATACCCTCCCCTAAATCCCAGGACCCTTCCCTAATTTTCTGAACTCTATGAATATTCCAAATGAATATTCTCTAAAGGTTTAAAAGCTAACATACATAAATGAGAAAAAGCATGGATCATTTCTCTTTCTAGGTCTATGTTCCCACTCAGCATGATTGTGTGAGTTCCATCCACTTTTCTGTGAATTCATAACTTTTTTTTTCTTAACAGCTGAATAATATTCCATTGTATAAATGTACCTCATTTTAATTATCTATTCATCAGTCGGAGGGATATCTAGGCTGTTTGTGTCCTGTCTGTTGTGAATGGAGCAGCAATGAACTACCCACCTCCTTAGTAAGATAGTCTGTCTTTTGGCTATATGCCCAAGAGTGGTGTAACAAGATCATGTGGCAGATCTATTAGTAGTTTCTTGATGAAGTTCCACACTGATTTCCTTTGTGGCTGTAAAGGTTGCACTGATTAAATGTTTCCTTTTCCCCATAGCCACACTAGCATGTTATCTAATTTTTTTTTTAAATTTAGCCATTCTGAATGGAATAAGATGAAATCTAAAAGTAGTTTTAATTTGTGATTCCCTAACAGTTAAGCATGTTGAACACTTAAAAAAATAACCCTATTTCTCAGGCATTTATATTTTATCTTTTGATATCTCTTAGTTTTGTTCCATGCCTTATCTTTGATTGGGTTGTTGTTTTCTTGATGTTTGGCTTTTCTTTTTTTTTTTTTTTTCAGTTCTTTCTTCTAGATAGTGTTTGTAAGTTGCATAGTTGGTAACAACTTTTTCTCATTCCTTAGGATGCTGTTTCTCTGGAGAGATGGTATCCTTTGCCTGGCAGAAGCTTTCTAGTTTCATTTGGTTCCATATTGCAGTTGCTGATATTAATGCTTGCACTATTGAGTCCTGTACAGAAAATTCTTTCCTGTGCCAATGAGTTCCAGTAGGTGTCCTACTTCATCCTTTATGAGATTCAGGGTATCTGGTTTGAGGTTCTTGATCCCCAGGGTGTTGAAATTTGTGAGGGTAGGATTTGTTTCATTCTTCTACATGTAGCCATCTTGTTTGACTACTACCAATTGTTGAAGATGGTGCCTTTCCTCCAGTATGCATTGTCCAACTCTGTTTAAAACCAGATGGCTGTGTGAGTTTTGGCTTATATATGGGTCCTTAATTCTATTTATTGATCAATGTGTCTGTTTTTATTGCCACCACGATGCTGTTTTTAATTAATGTAGCTCTATAGTATAACTTGGAATCTGGGGTGATGATATCTCCAACAGTTTATTATTATTTGGGATTGTTTTGCCTATTCAAGGTCTCTTAATTTCATTTGAAATTTAAGATGGTATCTTCAGTGTCTGTGAAGAAACTGAAAAAGGTACTAAAAGATGGAAAGATCTCCCATGTTCATGTGTTGGTAGAATTAATATTGTGGAAATGGCCACCTTACCAAAAGCAATCTACTAAGTCAATGTAAACCAAATAAAAATTCCAATGCAATTCTTCACAGAAATTGAAGTTATCATCTTAAATTTCAAATGAAATACAGTATCATCATCCCAGATTCCAATTTAAAACTCTTGGAAGTATTACTAAGCAAATAGAAATACCCATGATGAAGAAACAGCCTTAGAGACTCTGTTTAGGTGTATGTGGGAATCAAGCCCTTAGGCCACCCAAGGCCCCCTGCCCACCTTCCCTTCTGTATTTCAAATGGGAAAGAAAGTAAGTTTTTGCATCTGACACAAGAGAGATGCCATCTGCACCATCAGCTGTGGGAGAGATGATGCACGGATGCTGTTGGTGGCCTTTAGGCTTGCCAGCATCCAGTCAGCTCTTGCCTTGCAGCAGCAAGTCACCAGCAGATCTGGGGAGTCACAGTTCAGCCTTAAGGAGCATCACCAAACAGGCGTGGAGAAATGGTTTTTTGTTTTGTGTTGTTTTTTTCTCTTTTACTCTTTTGGAGGGCCCGCCACCCAGTTCTCAAATAAACCACACATGGTGGCGTATTCTTAATTATAAATGCCCAGCCTTAGCTTGGCTTGTTTCTTGCCAGCCTTTCTTAAATTATTTCATTTACCTTTTGCCTCTGGGCTTTTTTATTTTCTTACTTCTGTATACCTTACTTTTGCTCTTATTCTGTAGCTGACTGCTCTTATTCTGTGGCTGTGTGGCTGGCCCCTAGCATCCTCCTCTCCTTGCTCTCTTGCTCTTTCTCCCCCTACCCCCAAGATTTCTCCTTCTATTTACTCTCTCTGCTTACCAGCCCCACCTCATCATTTTTCCTGCCTTGTTACTGGCCATTCAGCTCTTTATTAGACCATCAGGTGTTTTAGACAGGCAAACTAACACAGCTTCACGGTGTTAAACAAATGCAACATAAAAGAATGCAACACCTCTTGGCATTATTAAACAAATGTTCCACAGCATAAACAAATGTAACATATTTTAAAATAATATTTTACAACAGAGAAACATGTCAGAAAGTAAGAGACCAGACTTTTCCACAGTTCCAAGACCAGCAGATGGAGCTGAAACATGTTTTGCCCCTGACCTCGACTCCTCAGTTCTACTTTCTGAGCTTCGACAACTCATTTCATGGTCTGGATGAAGGTCATCTAATCATTTTGCAGAAATAGCTGAGCTCACTCACAAGCTCACTATCATTCACAAACGCTTGGCATTTCATACTTCATATAAACCTTCCCATGAATTATCTCAATTTTGAAAAGTCTGAAAGATGGAGTGAAGGTGTAAAGGACTAGGGAAAAGGACAGGCTCCAGGGCCAAATAGAGATGGCCCTGTCTCTTGTTAATTGCATGGCAGTAATAATGGTACCTGTTCACTAAAAGTGCAGGCCAGTTCTCTAACAAGTTACTTTTTTTAGCCACATAAAACTACCTTAATAGAAAATGTAACCAAGCTTTCCCGAAATATTGATACCTTCATAGATATGGTTTGGTATACCTAGACCTCCTCTCTATTTAGAATTTTCCTTGATCC